ACTTATACACAAGCTCAGTGTACACTATCACACGCCAGCATTCTCACACCCATTTTCCACAACTACAGTTTTGCATTCCAACACATTAAAGCTCAATACAAATAGATATTTGTATTGACTAACACTTGCACCCCATACAACCCCCTCTTCCCCCCACATTTACATTCACTGTTGGAAAACTACAGTAAACCATTAAAAAGGAGAGACAAATACTTTTACTGAAAATAAAAGCCAAACTTCGGGTATCATGTGAGTGTAGATATGAATATTGTTCACTAATGAGGCTGGTTTAAATTCTAGAATGTCTTCTTAAAAGGCATATGAGGACACTGCCAATTGGAAAATGTAGTAACTTACCCTTCAGCTAGTCCCTGCTTGGGTCTCATAATATTGCTGTACACTCTTGCTATTGTCTATTTTGCAAGAGAATCTGTTTTGCTCTTGGAGATATTATTCTGCTTGCATGATACATAATTTTAGTGACAAAAGCTCCTTTTAAATAGAATGAAGTGGGTACACTGCAGGGAGATCATCTGTCCTATAAACTGTCTCCAGATAACCATTTCCAGCATATGCCTTGATAGAACATTAAATGATGTTGTTCAAAAGTGCAAGTGTCTCTTGATAAAATAATAATGATAATGCCTCCTGGAACTGTATGCATATCTCTTATAGATTTCGGGATATATAATTGTCAAAATACCTACCCAATCCACATGGAATTTGGCCTCCTCATTCACACCACACATGTTGATTGTGATGCCAATGTCTCCAGTGATAATGTTGGATGATGCATGTGTCTATTTTTGCTAACAAGATGCATTGCCTAATTTCCTGCCCACGTTCTTCTGCATCATTCCTGTGATATTGTGCCTGCACTTTTTTTGGGTTGCAGGAATGAACCAAACCAATCAAATGGCACCTAGCCCTATATATACACCCCTTTTAACTTCTTACACTTTGTGATGCCGTGGTTTCCTGTTAGGTTATCCAAGAGATTTTTTTTGGTGTGTTTTAAATTACCTGGTATCTGACTTTGGCTTGTTTTTGACTATCCTTCTTTCTGTACTTATCTTCGACTAGTTCTCTTATTAGTGTTACTATCTATTATCCTCAACCCCAGTTAGTTATATGACCATTTGTTCTCATTTTTGTATAATTAAGCCAGGCCAATTTTAAGGACTGGTAATAAGGCTTTATCCATTTCTATTTCTACATGTCCAGGTGTGGCCTAAGCCCTATCTGCTGGGTTATACAAAACATGACAAGAATATATTGTGAAGTACTGTTTTGGGGAGTGTAGACTGGTTATTAGCACAAATAAAATGTGTTACATTTTTTAGGCTAGATCTCCTTAAAGATATTGTGCACATCTTCCATCATCAAACACATACAGATAATTTAAGGGTATGGGCCTCTAAAAATTGTGAATCAGTTTATTTAAGTGAAATACATTTTTACTGTGGATCATATATTCCCTGACTGCCCAAACTTCCACCTCATGTTCTTCCTTCGTTAGGACCACCAAATCTGAAAACAGGGCAAAATAGTAGTAAGTAGTGATGTCCCGAATGGTTCGCCAGGAGGTGGGAGGGTCTGGGAGGGAGGGTCTGCTGCTGATTGGCTGGAATGTGTCTGCTGACTGTGAGGTACAGGGTCAAAGTTTATCGCATATGTTCGCCGTCTGCGGCAAACCGTTCGGCGAACCGTTCGGGACATCACTACTAGTAAGTCATCCAGACTTACAAGCAACACAGAGCTCCATCAGCTGTTCTACTGCCCTATCCAACAGCCTGATTTTAAATGTATCTAGCCCCGACTTTCAAGCAACACAGAGCTCCATCAACTGTTCTACTGTCCTATGCAACAGCCTGATTTTAAATGTATCCAGCCCCGACTTTCAAGCAACACATAGCTCCATCAGCTGTTCTACTGCCCTGTGCAACAGGTAGTCTTCTGGAGTTCAATCTTTAAATCTCTTAGAATACACCCCCTCTCTCCCTACAAATAGCTATATATCACACATCAATACTAAAAACTTTTTTTCATTTATTTATTTTTTACTATTTGTGTTTTGTTTTCATCTACACACCTCATACATGAATCCAAATATGATCATACTTTTATTCATGATAACTCTTTTCTCACTCCAATTTTGTGCACATCACTACCTCCATAAGCACACACCTCAACACATTATCATATATCATGGCCTGCTCTGTTGCTGTAACTTAACAGCTGATTGCTGGTGGAGAGTAATAAAAAAATAGCCCTTCTACCCCCACCTCACAACATTATAAAGTATCCTATTCATTAAATGGCCAAAAAAAATGATGTCCAAATTCCTATTCCTATTGTTACTTGCCCTTGCAAATGATGTGGAGTCTAACCCTGGTCCTCCAGCTAAATCCAATCACAGTCTCTCCACTAAAAAAGGCCTCTCTTTTGTGCACTGCAACATCCATAACTTGCTCCCTAAACTGGATGCACTACAAGCCTGGTGTTACAAACCAAAATCATTGTGCTCTCGGAATCATGGTTAACAACTAAAATACCAGACTCTGCCATTGCAATACAAAACTATAACTCCCCTTCTGCCTTTGATTTCCTTTCTGGCACAATTGAGATCCCTTTCAGTAAAACTATCATTGTTGCTGGAATCTACCGCCTACCTAGCTCTCCGTTGCACTCCCTTTCTGACATAGCCCAACTCCTTAGTGAAACTGTAGAACAAAACCAAAAAAGTGAATTGTTGGTTTTTGGAGATTTTAATATTGATTGGCTGAATCCAAAAATATTAAATCATGTTCACTCTTCAAGTCTTTGCAGCTAACACAATCAATTTCCTCCCCAACTTGCCTTAATATTAAAAGCCAGAACCATACATCGCAAGATTGGATTCTCTCCAGTTATCCTGACATAATCCAGGAGGTGGGCGTTCTCCCCAACAGTTTCAGTGACCACTGTCTAGTGTACTGCATACGCAAAATAAAAGCCACTAAATCCCCTCCCAAGATTATAATCTCCAGGTCTTTCAAGAACTTTAGCCTTAAATCGTTTTTAAACAATCTCAAAAACATACCATGGCAAAGATTAAGTCTAGTCCCAGATCTAGTCTCTGTAATTGCATTTTTTCAGTCTGAGCTCTTGTTTAGAAATTGCATGCCCCTCTTTGCAAATAAAAAGGGACACCTACAGCTAACCTCATTCAAAATGTACCAGTTTAGAGATTCACTGTGGTCCATGTTCAAGCATACTGGCTCCATGAACGATTACTGTGCCTTCAGACAATGGCGACATGCATTCACAAAACAAACAAAAATGGCAAAGGCCCAATATTTCAGTGAAAATTTGGACAATAACCTATCAAACACAAGAAACTTTTGGAAAATCATAAATAGCATTCAAACCCCCACAGCCTACTCCCAACCCTCCACTGTCAAAATGGACAACCAAACACTTCAACACCCCCTAGATTTAGCAAATGCCTTAATAATTATTTTGTTGGATGTGCTTCCACCCTGGTTGCTAAGATAAGGAATGACTAATTTTCAGACCACAAATAAAGATCAGGCACTGCCAAATCTTCAAAATCCTTATATAGAGAAATTCAATTTTAGACCTGTGCCTGTAACTGTCGTTAATAAACATCTTAATAATTTAAAAATGAAAAACCAGTGTGGACCAGATCAAATCTCAGCAATGTTGCTGAAGCTCAGTGCGCCAGCAATTGCTAAACCTGTCACCACCCTTATCAATGAATCCCTAGTGTCAGGATACATACCCAAACTTTGGAAGACTGCAAAAGTAGTATCTATCCATAAAAGTGGTGACAATAATTTGGTATCTAACTATCGCCCAATATTATTGCTCCCAGTATTGTCAAAAATCTTGTGAAAATGCAACTATGTGAATATTATCAATGGTCAAATTATCTTATCCCCTGATCAATCAGGCTTTCGTCCAAATCACTCAACTTCAACTGCCCTGTTAAAAGTTTGCAATGACATCCAAATTAGCATGGAACAATGAGACTTAACTTGAGCTATTTCCTTGATTTTACCACGGCCTTTGATGTGTCAAAGGCCGTGGTAAAATCAAGGAAATAGCTCATGGTTTACTGTGGTAAACCATGGCATTCTTTTGCAAAAACTTAAAAACTCAGGCATTGGAGATCGTCTCCTAACCTTGTTCCGATCATATGTTTCAGATCGATTGCAATATGTGGCCATTTCTGATAGCACCTCCGTTCCTCTTCCAGTCACATGTGGTGTTCCCAAAGGCTCCATACTCAGCCACGTGTTATTCACATTATTTATAAAGGATCTGCCTAATGTCTGCAAATTCTCAATTGTACACATGTATGCAGACGACACAGTAATCTACGCTAGTAAACCCAATCTACCGCAGCTTGAGGCTGTGCTCCAAAACTGATTCACAGACGTAGAAAAGTGGATAGCTGTTAGCAAACTCTTCTTAAACACTTAAAAACTCAGGCATTGGAGATCGTCTCCTAACCTGGTTCCGATCATATGTTTCAGATCGATTGCAATATGTGGCCATTTCTGATAGCACCTCCGTTCCTCTTCTAGTCACATGTGTTGTTCCCAAAGGCTCCATACTCAGCCACGTGTTATTCACATTATTTATAAAGGATCTGCCTAATGTCTGCAAATTCTCAACTGTACACATGTATGCAGACGACACAGTAATCTAGCTACGCTAGTAAACCCAGTCTACCGCAGCTTGAGGCTGTGCTCCAAAACTAATTCACAGAGGTAGAAAAGTGGATAGCTGTTAGCAAACTCTCCTAAACACTGACAAAACAGTTACAATGATCTTTGGAACTGTACCTAAATTACGTAATCTACAAAATCAACAACAGAACAAATTAAAAATGGCACTCTGACAGCAGTCTGTTCTTTCAAATATTCCTGACTGAGGAAGCCGATTTTCGGTGAAACGCGTTTTGGCTGCAAGTGGACCTATGCTAGACCACTTAATACATTAGTATTACTTATATATGTTTTTATATATTTTTTGTTTTTATAATAGTTTGTATACATTTTAATATTGATAATAAACATAGTTGTTATATACTTCACTTCCTGCATCCTGTACAAGTGATTCAAGAAAGGGATAGTGTCACCCTACAAATTGACACTGAATCTATATACTTAGAGCCAGTTAAAAAGGCTCTAAAGAAGGTGAGCACTTTTCTGGATTTCATTTATACTGATACACATTGGTATTTTAAAATACTACATTTAGTTTGGACGTTTCATTCTCTGTTTCATCTTATATACTCTGGAGAGTAACAGACGTTCCTTCACTGAGAGAGAGGGGTTGTGTGGTCTACCCAAAAGACACAGACGCTTGGAAGTTTAGAGCCTTATCACTGTAAAAGGCTCTAAAAAATGTGAGTTAATTTACGTTACAACTCACACGTATAATCTAAATTTTTCAGACATATTGCACTATTATTTGTATATATCTCTTTTCTTTTTTAAATACATGAAAATATAAGCACTATATAGATGGTAAGTGCTTTTTAGGCACTACATATGTATATTCACAACTGTTAAAGTTATACTTAAGCGCTACACTCATGGAAATTGAGGGTTTAAAGGGATAGACACCTGATAAATCTGAAATTTTTCCTTGTTGTTTTTTGGTGATTTCTATGTGTGTTGGGTTTTTAGGAGTACCCACAGAGTGTATAGCAGCTAAATTCACTTCAATATCACAATTCTATAGTGCCATTTTTTCACAACCTGTGTGTGCACACTCAACACAGAATGAACCTATCATGGTTGATATATTTATTACCTGTTATGTGTTGAATTTATATAAATATATATATAATATATATATATATAAAATTGCGTAGAGATAGGACTCCAAAGGTGTAAAAATAAAATTAAACTTTTATTTTCCAAATTTAAAAGATCAATTTTATTTTTACACCTTTGGAGTCCTGCGAGTGCTATCTCTACGCAATTTGTTATACTATGCCGATAAGCACTGGGCAGAGACACTAGTAGGTGGAGTGCAAGACTATTTTTTATGTTTTTTGTTTTATATATATATATATATATATATATATATATATATATATATATAGTTTGTATATTGTATTTTTGTAATATTGCATCCTATTGTAACAATGCAATATTTTGTGGCTCCAGGACATACTTGAAAACAAGAGAAATCTCAATGTATCCATCCTGGCAATATATTTTATAAATAAATAAATAATACATGTTGAATTTGGGCCTATCACCCTCATGTCTGTCAACGCTAAACTTTTTTTTTTTTTAATAAGAGAATTATGAAAATAGGGAAGAGTGAATGATATCCAAAAAGTTTGATAATGAGGAAGGGCAATCGCCAGAGCCAAGGGCAGACTAGGCATGCTAACAGGGAACTTTGCCTCACTCACTGGTGTCACAATAGCTTGCATTTAAAAACCAAAAAACTTTTTTCACTGTTATGGATTGAATAGCATTTAGTTGTCTCCAAGCGTCTGTGTGTCAGGCTCGCAGCGTATACTGTGCCCACTTGCCCAGTGCCACCACTCACTCACTGGTGTCACAATAGCGTGCATTTAAAACCAAAAAACTTTTTCACTGTTATAGATTGAATAGCAGTTAGTTGTCTCAAAGCGGGTGTGTCAGGCTCACAGTGGATACTGTGCCCAGTGCCACCACTCACTCACTGGTGTCACAATAGCTTGCATTTAAAAACAAAAAACTTTTTTCACTGTTATAGATTGAATGGCAGTTAGTTGTCTCAAAGCGGGTGTGTCAGGCTCACAGTGGATACTGTGCCCAGTGCCACCACTCACTCACTGGTGTCACAATAGCTTGCATTTAAAAAAAAAATTGTTTTCACTGTAATAGATTGAATAGCAGTTAGTTGTCTGCAAGCGTCTGTGTGTCAGGCTCGCAGCGTATACTGTGCCCACTTGCCCAGTGCCACCACTCACTCACTGGTGTCACAATAGCGTGCATTTAAAAACCAAAAAACTTTTTTCACTATAATAGATTGAATAGCAGTTAGTTGTCTGCAAGCGTCTGTGTGTCAGGCTCGCAGCGTATACTGTACCCACTTGCCCAGTGCCACCACTCACTCACTGGTGTCACAATAGCTTGCATTTAAAAAAAAATAAAACATTTTTTCACTATAATAGATTGAATAGCAGTTAGTTGTCTGCAAGCGTCTGTGTGTCAGGCTCGCAGCGTATACTGTGCCCACTTGCCCAGTGCCACCACTCACTCACTGGTGTCACAATAGCGTGCATTTAAAAATCAAAAAACTTTTTTCACTGTTATAGATTGAATAGCAGTTAGTTGTCTGCAAGCATCTGTGTGTCAGGCTCGCAGCGTATACTGTGCCCACTTGCCCAGTGCCACCACTCACTCACTGGTGTCACAATAGCGTGCATTTAAAAACCAAAACACTTTTTTCACTGTTATAGATTGAATTGCAGTTAGTTGTCTGCAAGCGTCTTTGTGTCAGGCTCGCAGCGTATACTGTGCCCACTTGCCAGTGCCACCACTCACTCACTGGTGTCACAATAGCGTGCATTTAAAAACCCAAAAACTTTTTTCACTGTTATTGATTGAATAGCAGTTAGTTGTGTCCAAGCGTCTGTGTGTCAGGCTCGCAGCGTATACTGTGCCCACTTGCCCAGTGCCACCACTCACTCACTGGTGTCACAATAGCGTGCATTTAAAAAACCCAAAACTTTTTTCACTGTTATAGATTGAATAGTAGTTAGTTGTCTCCAAGCGTCTGTGTGTCAGGCTCGCAGCGTATACTGTGCCCACTTGCCCAGTGCCACCACTCACTCACTGGTGTCACAATAGCGTGCATTTAAAAACCAAAAAACTTTTTTCACTGTTATAGATTGAATAGCAGTTGGTTGTCTCCAAGCGTCTGTGTGTCAGGCTCGCAGCGTATACTGTGCCCACTTGCCCAGTGCCACCACTCACTCACTGGTGTCACAATAGCGTGCATTTAAAAACCAAAAAACCTTTTTCACTGTTATAGATTGAATAGCAGTTAGTTGTCTTCAAGCGGGTGTGTCAGGCCTACAACGTGTACTCTGCCAACCTTTGCCAGTTCAAAGTGTCACTCTTATCTGGTGTCACAGTAGCTTGTACGCATAGTACCACTAATCGAAAAAAAAATGACAGGCAGAGGCAGGCCACCCCTACACTTTGCATTGGGTAAACCTGCTGACGGCTGCCAAGCATGGAATGCGTGGCTCTGCAGAGGAGTTGGTGACACCGCCACGACTTGCAGGCAGGCCTGCTGCCACCTCCTCTACTCCTCCTACTCCATCCTCTTCCATAACCTCCTCGGCTAGGTCCTCTTCTGCTGCTGCGTCTTGCTCCACATCAACGGATAGGGGACGTAACAGGGATTAAACTGATAAGAATAGTACTACTTAACACACCACTCCTATCTGGTGGCACATTAGATTGCACGTGCTGTGCCCCAAATTTGAAGTAGGAGGACCGACCAAGCATCTTTTTCCATCTCCCGGTTCCTAAAATCGATGCCATATACACGTCCCCTGATAGGGAACGTAACAGGGATTAAACTGATAGGAATAATACTACTTAAGTTGATGTTTAGTGGATAGGTGAGTGCGCTGGATCTTGTGTTTTGTATTATTTGGCCCCCAGCAGCACCCCCATTTATGCATGTTCAGGTGAGTGCAACCCCCCCTTGTTTCATATATATATATATAACATTATATTATGTATATATTTTAAAGCATACTAATTTTCATATCCTTTCATTCTTATGATTCGGTTCCAGAATTTAAATCTCAGTTCCAAAACTCTATTAAGCTGAACTGACATTCAGTCGATATGCAGATGTCTAATAAAAATGACTATATCTGTAAAATAAAAATGGTTCGGCTGAGCTACATTTTCTCTCTGTATACAGGTGATACTCGAAAAATTAGAATATTGTGCAAAAGTTCATTTATTTCAGTAATGCAACGTAAAAGGGGAAACTAATAAATGAGATAGACGCATTACATGCAAAGCAAGATAATTCAAGCCGTGATTTGTCATAAGTGCGATGATTATGCCTTACAGCTCATGAAAACCCCAAATCCACAATCTCAGTAAATTAGAATATTGCGAAAAGGTGCAATATTCTAGGCTCACAGTGTCCCACTCTAATCAGCTAAGTAAGCCATAAAACCTGCAAAGGGTTTCTGAGCCTTTAAATGGTCTCTCAGTCTGGTTCAGTAGGAATCACAATCATGAGGAAGATTGCTGACCTAATGGTTGTGCAGAAAACCATCATTGACACCCTCCATAAGGAGGGAAAGCCTCAAAAGGTAATTGCGAGGAAGTTGGATGTTCCCAAAGTGCTGCATCAAAGCACATTAATAGAATGTTATGTGGAAGGAAAAGTGTGGAAGAAAAAGGTGCACAAGCAGCAGGGATGACCGCAGCCTGGAGAGGATTGTCAGGAAAGGGCCATTCAAAAGTGTTGGGGACTTTCACAAGGAGTGGACTGAGGCTGGAGTCAGTGCATCAAGAGCCACCACCAAGAGACGGATCCTGGACATGGGCTTCAGATGTCGTATTCCTCTTGTCAAGCCACTCCTGAACAACAAACAACGTCAGAAGCGTCTTACCTGGGCTAAAGAAAAACAGACCTGGTCTGTGGCTCAGTGGTCCATAGTCCTCTTTTCTGATTAGAGATTTTGCATCTCATTTGGAAACCAAGGACCCAGAGTCTTGAGGAAGAATGTTGAGGCACACACTGCAAGATGCTTGAAGTCCTGTGTGAAGTTTCCATAGTCTATGTTGATTTGGGGAGCCATGTCATCTGCTGGTGTTGGTCCACTGTGCTTCATTAAGTCCAGGGTCAACACAGCCATCTACCAGTAGATTTTGAAGCACTTCATGCTTCCTTCCGCAGACGAGCTTTATGGGGATGCTGACTTCATTTTCCAGCAGGATTTGGCATCTGCCCACACTGCCAAAAGCACAAAAACCTGGTTCAATGACCGTGGGATTACTGTGCTTGATTGGCCAGCAAACTCGCCTTACCTGAACCCCATAGAGAATCTATGGGGCATTGCCAAGAGAAAGATGAGAGACATGAAACCGAACAATGCAGAAGAGCTGTAGGCCCTATTGAAGCATCCTAGTCTTCCATAAGAACCCAGCAGTGCCACAGGCCGACAGCTTCCATGCCACGGCGCATTGAGGCAGTAATTGCTGCAAAAGGGGCCCAAACCAAGTACTATGTCTATATGCATGCTTATACTTTTCAGAGGTCCGATATTGTTCTATGTACACTCCTTGTTTTATTGATTGCATGTAATATTCTAATTTACTGAGATTGTGGATTTGGGGTTTCATAAACTGTAAGCCATAATCATCTCACTTATAACAGAGCACGGCAAATGAACTATCTTGCTTTGCATGTAATGTGTCTATCTCATA